TTGCGGATGTTGGTCAGATTGTGGGGTTTGCGTATATTTTTATATGAAGGGGCGTGTTCAATATATAAACAAAGATAGAAGCATGAAATAAACGGACGTTTATTTCTTTTATGTTGACTTTATTGAAACAAAGGTAAATGTCTCTTGAGTATGTCCGTTTTCCTTTTTGGTTCAGAAATCATTTACTGGGATTAAGGATAAAAACGGGTAAAGACGGTCGAGCTCAAGTTAGCTTTGTGCTGAATTGGGATGTCCGAATTTCCATTTGGTGAGTAGGGCTGCTGAAAACACGTCCGAAAGATCTCGTTGGAAAGTGGAGAGAGAGAAAGATTCTTTCCTTTCCGGAAGTGGGGTCATAAAATCTCACATGTGACCAGAAACCCTTTCCGGTTTCTTTATAACTTGCATCATGAGAAAATGAATTTATCCAATTTGTATACTTGATTATTATTTTAATTATTGGTTTTATTTCATTTTCCCAAAAAACCGAAGATCCTCATAAGAATTGCCTTGTTGGTTTCGTCACATTCACATACACGCAAACACTATTTGGTAAACTTATCCATTCATTTTTTTGCCCCCGTAATGGGTTAAATAGTGTGACTTGTAGAGGGAAAAGTCTTGCTATCTCCAAAGAATGTTAGTGTTCATTCGCAAAAAAAAACGAAAAAAAGATTATTTTTAAACTCCAAAATTTCACCTTGTGTAACAGCAAAAGTGTTCCAATCGTGTAAAAGTAAAATTGTCTATTTTTTAGATTGTCTTGAATTGTTGTATTTTAGAAATGACTAAAGATACCAATTAATTAATCATAGCTAAGGATAGGAAGCTCAGGAAGGATTGAAATAAATTACAGACACGCACACATATATATTGTTCCATGATTATTTTATAATTTATTCAAGATGATCTTCGCCCTCTCTAATCGTCTAACTTTCTGTCCTGGCGTAACAAGTTGCCTCATTAGTTTAACGTATGATTTCATTTTCAAGTCTGTTTTTACTGCTCTTTGGACTTTCAGAGCTGAAACTCCACTGTAACGGGCCAAACGTTTTATGGATTGAGTTGGATCTTTTCTAATTGATATCTTTAGCTCTAAGTTGAAATAAGGATCCCACTTCCTGTTGTGACTTCCTGGTCCATTTTTACTCTCTAATGTTCCTTCTTTTTAAAAAAAATATTCACCATTCTCTTGAATGGGCGTTGAAGATGGACGCCAGAGTATGTATGTTGGCACCATTACTGAATGCTTGAATGATCTTTTTCCTCTCACCATTGCTCATTTAGGAAAAGAGTGGGGCTAATACAAAATGACTTTAACCTGTTCTCTTTCTAGCTGAATAACTGAAAGTGCTTTAAGCGATTCTTACGACAAATCGTGTCAGTATGGCTAAACCTGTTGTGTGAAAACCTGGCAAAGGAATACTTAATTGGTTTTGTGTTTTTTTTTTTTTTTAGATATTAAACATTTTGTGGGATGGACAAATATGCTGTTACACGATTTGGACACTTTTACTGTTACACCCGATATATTCGTCTTTAAATATTGCACAAAATGTTGATAAACCGTAAAAAATCAAGTCAATTACCATTTTAAATACAATGTATGGACATGAAAGGATATACGTTAAGTGTCATCAGCATGCCGTATTCAAAAACAAAAACTCTGTTATTGCATTAATCATCATATATGGGAAAGTGGCCGAGTTTCCGACTATGAGTTCCGTCCTGGGTAAGACGATAAACTACATTCGCGTCCTGGGTAAGACGATAAACTACGTCTGACAATATGGTCTCTGAACAACTAATTGCTGGTGTTCCCAGGTACACCCTGACCCGGGGTGGTAGCACCTGTTAGGATTTCAGCTATGGGCAAATAGTTAACACCCAGCATTTTGTAAAAATAATTTTTAATACCAGAAATATTTTATAATAAAAAATATTGCCAGCAATAATTTTTTAAAGAAAAATTATTATCAGCAATCGTTTAAAATAACATACAAGTCATACAAACAGTTATATAGTCTTTAAAAAATGGAGAATGAAACTCAGAATCCAAAATAGTGCGAACTCACTATTCTGTCGTAATTGATCGAGTGAGGTAGGCTTGCTAATCTTTACAGCAAATCAATGCACCCGTGATGTAATTGCTGATATAATCAAATATGAAGTGATTTTCTAAGCGTTGCACAGATGTTGCACAAGGCCGAGAAAAGATTTTCTAAGCGTAGCTTAGATGTGGAACAAGTCCAAAAGTATGGAGCTGCCAGCGAGGATTGAACTCACTACTTAGTCGTAATTGGTCTAGCAATCAAATTTCCTAACCATTACAACAAGTCGATTTGAGAAAAGACTTTTATAAGCGTAGCTTGGATGTGACACAAGACTGAAAGTATGGAACACCTTGTGAAGATCGAACTCACTATTCAGTCTTGATTGATCTAGTGAGTCAAGCTTGTTAACCATTACACTACCTCGAAATACCCAAATGCTGATTTTTTAAGTGTTATTTAGATGCAACACAAGGACGAAAGTAAGGATCCCCCAGTCAGAATCAAATTTTCTATTCAAGCATAATTGATCGAGCGAGACAAGCTTGCTAACGATTACACCAAGTCGATGAGCTCATGACGGAATTCATAATGATGTAATCAAATGCAAGAATTGTTTTCTTTAAACTATTCTTAAAAAATGGGGTCGCGAAACGAAATGCTGGGGTCGCGAAAATTAAATTTAAACTTTTGAATTCGCTGAGGAATCGAGTGACTCAAACTTGAAACATGAATTCAGAAAAAAAAAACTGAATTCTGGATTGGAGCTAAAGCTGAATTTACCACAATTTCTAAAATGGCGCTACATGTTCTTCTGCCATGTAGCACTACATACCTATGTGAAACGACTTTTTCAGCTTTAACCCTTCCTAAAACACAAAATCTTTCGACGCTGAAAAACGTCGAAGATGCTTTACGTCCAGCAGCGTCAAATACTCCGCTATGGTTTAATTTGTTACGCAGCAAAAAAAAAAGAAGCAGATTCGACACATTTTTACTTTGTTTTTTTTTTGTTGTTTTTGTTTCTTTTTTGTTTTTTGTTTTTTACTGTGGTTTATTTTTGTACTTGAAACAAATCCTAAAACTACTTTTATTTTGCCAAATAATATAACTACATTTTTATATTTATATTGTTAAAAAAAAAATGATTTATATATTTATGTGTATGTTTTATTTCCTATTTAATACCTAGAGTCACGAAAAATCTCGTGATAAAAAACGGGGTTATGAATGAAAAAGTTTATAAAACAATTTGCTAATAAAAATCGTGTAGTTTTTATTTCGGCAGAAATAATTTCCGTCCGATCAAATGATGTTTCCGGGAATAAATTAACCTAGTCTGTTTTTACTACGACTAAATTTCCTATATTTGCTTTCGTGCAAAATGCATTTAACCGATACAGTAAAAATGTTAGATGATAAGATATATTTATTGTGTACATTCATTTACTGTTTGTAATTAACTTAAGTACTGAAAAAGCTGGTTTCTTCTGTGAAAGCCGTCTTCAAAATTTAGTTGGTTGCTTCATTTTTACGCAAAGTTTTAAACAGGGCCGCGACGACTCATCAGTTCATGTAAGGTTGTAACTGTTCAAGCCGTTACGCGTTTACCCTTCAAATGAAAAGACTAGATGATTGATTAAATAGTTGTAACAGACGTATACGCCAACTTAAAGTCTGAAACAGTCGAATCGTTCCATGCAAATGTAATCTTAAATCGATGTGATATTTGTCGCAATTCGTTTGCATTGTCTTCAATGGTGTACACGGTTCGAAACCAATAAAATTGACTAATAACTAACGAACTAGAAAAAAAGAAAGAAAAAGAAAACGTTATTTTTTTTTTCTCTGAGAAGGCCATGTCGTATTTGGAACTCTGATAGAGAAATCCTTGCGATTGAAAAGGGGAGCAGGAGAAGAACTGTATCGTTCGATTGTACTTCATAAGTGAAGCTGATCAATTCGTTCGGACGTAGTAAGAGGTAAGACTCGCAAAGCAGGGCGATCGTAGAAGAAAAATAGATCGCATGCTACTGATTGTGCGTAATGGCTGCTTGGGTGGATTATTTCTGCTTGTATGGGTGAGCGGCCTGCAGAAAATTCGGTTGAAGCAATTCAGGAAAGAGAATGAAAGAGAAGGCGACTGAAGAAAAGAAGAGACGACTGGATGGGGGGGGGAGAAGATAGTCAGGAAAGAGAGAAATGACGAGAAGGGAAAAAAAAGAAATATTGTGGGCAAATAATAGAGATTGCCAAGGAAACAACAATAAAAAAAAAACGTTACCATTTACAAAGAGATACGCCTGAAACCTGGAGGGGGGATAAAAAAAAGAAAGGTAGAAACAAAGTATAAAATAGGAGGATTTTCGGTATTCTACAGAATCGCACCTCTTCAAGAAATATTCATTTCTTACAATTTGTTTTTCAGATTACTATAATAACAGTAATAATAATAATAATAATAATAATAATAATAATAATAATAATAATAATAATAAAAAATACTCCCGATCATGACTATCGGCTTTTCTTCTTTTTTTTTTTAATTTTCATATTTTTAAGAGTGGGATTCAGTCTACTATATTTAAATTCAATGGAACCCCCACCCACTAGAACAACTCTAAAAATAGACGCATGCCACGTGTACTACGGGATATTCTTATTAGACCTGCTGTCTAACTAATGATACAAAAATTATAAAGATTTATATAGAGATATTTTTGAGAAGGCTCAAGAAATTCAAGTAATTTTAAGTTTCTTAAATTTAATATTTATTTCTTTTAAAGTATATATCTACTACCATATTCCTGTGTTGCCCCAGAGCTGACAAACAAAATGTCAACCAATTTGTAAGTAGTCAAGAAATATTAAATTGTGTACTTACTTACCGTTACCTTTAATCACTATTATTATTATTTGCTTACTTGCGTTTATTTATTTATTTTGTTTACGGCCTCATCACATTGTAACATCGGTTCCCATACGATCACTGAATTTAAGCAACGTCGATCCAGGTCAGTAACTATATGGGGGACTACTTAGGAACACCAGGTGCTGTAAGGTTGGACGTGCACGTGGTGTACTGTATAATGGCGCGGAATTGTTAGTGGGAGAACCGAGTTCTAATTCCCAGTAGGTTCGTTATATTCGTTAATATTACATATGTTATATAATATATTCGTTGTATATATATATATATATATATATATATATATATATATATATATATATATAAATAAAATAAAAGGGCTTAAACACTTATATTCCATGGTCATAATTTATTCCATTGGAATCGTAAATACGATCCAATTCATCAGACCTACAAATTAGACGCGTGTATTTAAACTGAGAACGGGGAAAAACGCAACTGTTTCAATTGGGGACGTGAAATAACGCGTCTATTTAAACCGAGAACGGGAAAAAGAACGTATTGGTTTCATCTGGGCTCGGAAAGAACGGGTCTATTTAAACTGAGAACGGGAAAAAAGAACGCATCTGTTTCAACTGAAGACGGGAATGAACGCGTCTATTTAAACTGAGAACGGGTGAAAAACATATCTGTTTTAAATGGGGAAGGGAATGGACACGTCTGTTTATGCTGAGAATGGGGAAAAAGAACGCGTCTATTTCAACTGGGGGCGGGAAAGAACGCGTCTATTTAAACAGTAAAAAGAACGCGTCTATTTCAACTGGGCAGGGGAAAGAACGCGTCTATTTAAACTGAGAACGGGAAAAAGAACGCATCTATTTCAACTGAGAACGGGGAAAAACGCGTCTATTTAAAAACAGAATTGGAAAAAAAGACGCATCTGTTTCAATTGGGGACGAGATAGAACGCGTCTATTTAAACTGAGAACGGGGAAAAACGCATCTGTTTCAATTGGGGACGTGAAATAACGCGTGTATTTAAACCGTGAACGGGAAAAAGAACGTATCTGTTTCATCTGGGCTCGGAAAGAACGCGTCTATTTAAAGTGAGAACGGGAAAATAACGCATCTGTTTCAACTGTGGTCGGGTAAAAAGAACCTATTTATTTATACTGAAAACGAAACGATATGCATTAAAGCGATACTGTCTTTATTCCCTATATTGTGATAAAGTTCGTATTCTCCTCACTTCAGAATTCAGATTTGAACCTTTCAACATTTTTCAGTGAAACTTTCCCTTTACAAAATTATAATTTGCAGTTATATTTTAGATACATGGAAAAATGCGAGCAATTTTAATTGACGTCAGGTGGGTATGGTGAAAGAAACTGTTTCGATTCAGGACTCGGACGAATGAAGGTGGGTATTGTAAAAGAAAAAGTAATTGTACATCTTGAGTTTAGCGTCATTTCATTGACTCAGCTGTTAGAAGAACGCGAGTGTCAACGATACTCAATGCTGAAAGGAAGGTAATTTAGAATGAAAATGAAATCGAGGCTGTTTGTAATTTCTATTGCTATTTTTTTCTGTTTTTTATTCATTTAAGAAACTGGAGGGTGCAAAAAAAAGAGGCAGTTGAAGAGATGAACAAGGATGTGAAAGAAAGGGTATTAAAAGTAAGAGAAAAAAATATGAAAGAGGAAGAAGATGGAGGCGTGAGAGAAAAAAACGGAAGTAGGATCTGAGATACAAGAGAAAGAGAATAAAAGAATTAAAGGTGGGGAAAAAAAAGAAGAAAATAAAAAGAGGAACGAAGAAAAGTGTAGAAGAAGAAGAGGAGGAAGATGTAAGATAATGATGATGAGAAAGAAGAAAAGACCTAAGAAATTGAGATATGTGATATGGAAGACGAACAGGGAATAAATAAAATTGGGGTAAAAGAAAGAAAGAAAGAAGTAGAAGATATGATGAGGAAGATTATGATTAGCATGAGGATGATAAAGACAAAAGAAAGAACATGAAATTTGGGATACAAAAAGGGGCAAGAAGAAGAAGAATACTGAATATTTTTCAAACGGCTTCAGTTTATTTAAGCACTGTAAAGAGATTGCTCTTGTAGAGTGATTGATAATCCTAGAGAGAAAGGGAAAAAACTGACTTACTGAAAAATACCACGGCTGCTACATTGTGTGAGGATAGAGTCAAAACAAGTACATACTGTTTTTCAAGCTGATAGAAGAATCACAACTTTCACCCTTTCGAGAGATCCATAGCAGTGCCTGCAGTTTAATTTAATTAATTTATACACAATGATCTGTAGAATAAGTATTACCATATCCCTGACAGATCGTCTGAAAGGGCAGGGAGTGGTCGCTGTCAAATAGTTCCCGGGGAACTGACCGGATATCCTCTGATATTCATCTATTTGGGTCCATGGAGGAAACACCCAAATGTCAGACGCTCTACAATAATGGAGGGTTTAATGAAGTAACTGCGAATATATTTTCATGATCTGCTTCTACTTCAGATAACAGTAGTGACTCAAATAATACTGCACTGAAGCAAACACTATGATAAATACTGAATAGAGTATGTCCAAGTATAAATTTTTGTCATATAGGATATAAATAAATAGAATCGTTTGTTTATATAAATAAGTGTAATTGAGCAGTGTTAGCATTAGATCAATTGCTAAGTGTACCATCGTGTAGTATACCTACCAGTTCATTACTTACTTACGAGTTTGTCTACATTATATATTCTCTCTCTGTTATCTCGAAAACCCGAGATACAGCAATTTTAAATGGCGTGCTTTTACTCAAACTTACTTAATCGACGATGTTTCCGTAATGGAGTCAGTTAGAACACCGGATTTAATGACGGTTCATCGGTTATTTATTTTTTAATAAGATTTCTCGAATATTCAGGTCAGTAGATGAAAATAAAATGCAGTATAAAAAAAAATAAACGGTGCTTCTACTCAAATAGGGTTATCTACTAAAATAAATCTAAAGTGATATATATATATATATATATATATATATACATATATATATATATATAAACGTTTCTCGTACTGCCAAATCTAATCAGACATTTGAGGAATAAAAAATATGGGATCATATTAAACATAAGATACAACAATATCCACGTTTAAAACATAAAATGTAAGGTACCTTTCGACCGACACATTTTCAAACACAATCGTCGGTAATCTAAAACGGAGTACTAACAAGAAATTTTTTTTATTAATACCGTAATAAAATAGGATGGTAAGGGGAAAAAATTTTTTTACCTCAAATCATGTAACCGTTCCCCCAAATAAGGCCAACTTAAACTTCATCTCCCGTTGTACGCAGAGGGCCGGCCTACGTATGTTGATAATAACGAGGTGGAGTCTGTTCCTAGCCCTGTGGGAGAATACTCAGTCCTACAAACACCAGAATTTAATAGATGTTCACCGATAGCAGAGGCATGAGTCTGAGAACACCCGGATGTCACAAACTCATGCCTACGCACGCAGCCCAGGACATGTTGGGTGATTCTAACCACAAGCCTCTGGATAGTTTTGCCCACATAGTCGAGCTCGCATCGACATTTAAATTGATAAATAACTAAATTATTATGGTAGGTAGGCAAAACATCCTTACGGCAAGGGGGTGGGGAAAGCCCTCCTGGTAGTAAATATGTAAATATAATTGGTTGGATTGATGTGAGATTGTCACCCTAGGTTTCACGCTTTTGCGATCGTCAGACAAACTAATTAATTTTTAAAAATTTTTTTGTGTTTATGTAGATTGCGTGTATTGGTGTTATTATGAAAGTGTGTGGGGGGTATCGTCGTCGTGATGTCATCGTGCTAACGCAAACATCGATGCAGGTCCGTACACCCGATGAGGTACGCAGACACACATGCACACCCGCTCGTCCACCGGGGCTCATACAGACATAGACATATGTAGTCAGAATGCGACTTGACATATGTATGTATATTTGTGCTGTTGTCTATATAGATACGCATTTGTATGTTGAAATTCAAAGATCGGAAGTGTAGCGAAAATTTCTCGTGAATGCCTCGTGAATGTATACATGTCCGCAATCATATCACTTTTCTATTCTTTCGCTGAATAATATTTCCTCGCATGCACGTATATACGTGTGGTGGCGTCTGTGTAAAATTATGATAGGTAAAAATTGCTATTGTTTTTAATTTTTTAAGGTTGATTTGTTATTATTTGAAAAATGATTATTTGCCTGTTTTTGATGACTGCTTATATGTAACTTGTAGAAATTGCAGTTTGTAATCCTTATTGGGTTTTTATGGTGGTATTAAATGTGCTGGGGGAGGAGGAGTAGTTTATGTTAATAATTATAGCTGGTTTATATGATAATAGTAGATATGATGCAGTAGTAATGGTGTAGGGGGATTGGTGGCAATGATAATATAAGTAGCTAATAACAATAAACAACATACATCGAAGCACTAAAAGCAAGTGGATACACACAACCACTACAATATACACCTCCACAACCAAAACGCAAAAACAGATAAACAAATATTATCTGGTTTAATCCACCATACAACAAAACCGCCAAAACGAACATAGGCAAGACATTCCTAAACTTAATAGAAAAGCACTTCACTGAAACAAACCGATTAGCAAAAATATTCAACAAGAATAACGTTAAAATCAGTTAAGCTGTACAAAAAATATAACAGAAATAATCAAAAATCACAATAATAAAATGACAATCTACAAAAATGAAACCAAGGATCCAAAATGCAACTGCAGAAATAGAACAACTTGTCCACTCCAGGGGAATTGCCAACATACAAATAAAATATATAAAGCCAAGTGCAAACAACAGCACAATGTACTACATCGGTGCCACTGAGGGTCCATTCAAGAAGAGGCAAAACAACCACAACTTTTCATTCACCGACAGAAATTACTCGAACAGCATTACACTATCCACATGAATATGGCAGCAAAAAGACAGAAATAGCACACCAACAATATGCTGGAAAATATGGAAAAAAAGCACCTGCCTACAGCAACATTACAAAAAAAAAATGCCTACACGAAAAAGTAGCAATAATATCCCATACCACGCAAAAGAATTTACTAAACAAAAGATCAGAGATAATCTCCAAATGTATGCATGAGAATAATTACCTCTTATCCGAATTTA